GATTTTGAGATAATTTTTTTTATCACTTTTTAGTATAATTTGATGTATCATTTAAATAATTAGTTCTTTTAATTTATATAAAACTCATAATATTGAATGCATTCATTCATTTAATGATATGTAAAAATTGTATAAAAAAATAATATAAAAAATTATTCTTATAACACCATAAAAAAAAAAAGTCAAGTCTTATTTGACCATTTTTCTGTTCCAAATCCCATTCCAGCACTTCATATTTATAATGTTTTAGAAACCTAACATGCAAATTACAAAGGAGAAGAAACAACGAAGCATGACTCCCTAATGGTTAGAGTTAGTTAAAAAAAAAAAAAAAGGAAAAAAGGAGCAGAGACAGAGAGCTTGAAGCAAAAGCCAAAAGCAGAAAGCCACCTGAACAATCCCAAATTCACCCTCCCCCTAAAGGCATCTAGGCCAATGACTACTTCTGCTTTTGGGCGTATTGAACACCCTACGAGTCAACTCCACGCGGCTCCATTAATATAGAAACGGTTGTCATAATGCCATCAAAGCCTTCTTTAGCCAGCTGTCATCACACGCAGCCCCCTTTTATATACAGCGCGCCATACTATTCTTTTCCAAACCAATACTTGCTCTCACAGAAATTTAGTCGAATATCTTGCGTTTATGGCTCCTTTCAAGATTTTCTCATCTCTTCTGCTACTTTCCTTTCTGGGTTTGATCCTTAACCCTTGTTTAGCAACGAGGAAGCTTTCGGCTCTTGTTGAGCAACCGCCGATTGTCCTTAAGTACCATAATGGTCCGTTGCTTACGGGTAATGTCACCGTTAATCTTGTCTGGTACGGTCAATTCTCCCCTGCTCAAAGGTCCATAATCGTTGACTTTTTCAATTCTCTTAGCTCCACCAAGATGAGACCACCTTCGGTGGCGTCCTGGTGGCAGACCACCGGGAAGTACAGAGGAGGTCCACGCACCGTCGTCCTTGGGAAACAAGTGCTTGATGAAAAGTACTCTTTGGGGAAATCGATTAAGACCCAGCAGATTAAAGCTTTGGCTTCAAAAGCTGGAAACGGAGCAAATGCAATCAGCTTCTTGTTGACTTCTGCTGAAGTGGTGGTTGACGGATTTTGTATGAGCAGGTGCGGGACACACGGGTCGGGTGGGGTCAAGGGAAGCAAGTTCCTGTACGCCTGGGTTGGTGACTCGGTGAATCAGTGTCCAGGGCAGTGCGCCTGGCCATTCCACCAACCTATTTACGGACCGCAGACTCCACCGTTGGTTCCACCTAATGGAGACCTTGGGGTCGACGGGATGGTCATCAACTTGGCTACCCTTTTGGCTGGAACGGTTACCAATCCCTTCGACAACGGGTACTTTCAGGGCTCCGCAGGGGCGCCTTTGGAGGCCGTCAGCGCGTGTACTGGCATATTCGGAAAAGGCGCGTACCCGGGATATCCAGGTAAGGTTTTGGTGGATAAAACCACCGGAGCTAGCTACAACGCCAGAGGCGTTAACGGGCGTAAGTATTTGCTTCCGGCGATGTGGGATCCACAGACATCCACGTGCAAGACGCTCGTGTGAGCAAAAGAGAAAAAGGTCGCACCTGTATCCATTGATAACGCGTATTGTACATGTATATATAGAGATGATTTACGATAACGTTCGGATACATAAAGAATCAAAAAAAAAATCTATTTTTCATTTTCTCCCTTACATATGTATTCTTTATGGTACATCAGATGTTTAGGTATATAAAAAGGAATAACATTTTCTTCTCAAATTTTTCTTCATTTATCTTAAAATTCGAATATAAAACCCCTATATATGGCTGAGAATGTTGCCAAAAACAACTTGGAGGGAAAGGGGGTAAATTTTCGAGTCATGGGTAGGAGACGAACTTCCAACCTAAGGCCCAAACTCCTCAAATTCAACTTGGATTGGTGGATCATTGCAGATTAAAAAATGTTATGCTTACAATGTAGTATGATAGCATGCACTTACAATCACAACATCTTATTAAATGTTTAGTTTTTTTTATTCGGATGATCACATATAATATTATACACATTCACTCATTTACTATATTATCATTATAAATTTACAATTTTACGTGAAATTATAATTATATTATTTCTAATGATAATTTATTCATCCATTGAAATAATAATTTTTGTTCTTTTAGAAAAACAAAATCTATCTTCCTTCTTCCCAATAATTGGGCCTTATCCAATCTAAACGAGTAACAACTAATTGGCCCCCAAAAAAAGTAACTAAACTACCCACACTTCAGGCCTATAAAGAAACCGTCAATATAAAGGCCGGCCTTAAATTTTCAATCTCTTATGTCCAAATCTACAAATTGGGCCTTAGCAACTAGTCGAAGCCAATACCCAATGCAACTTCTCCTTCCTCTGGAACACTCGGCTACAGTCATTTCACTCAATAACCAGAATCATCTTTCTCAAGCCTGCTCCTTTCCTCCGAAAATGGAATCATCTCGTCCGCCAACACTGCTCGGAGATCAAGCACACAAAACTCCGCCTTCGCCATCCACCAGTACCTGCTGCAACTGCGGCGGTCCCACCACCGTCCCTCCACCTCCACAATCCCCCATTGGCTGGCCGGGGCTCTCCCCTCCGCCCAACTACAGGCCAATTAGGGCTCCCGCCATCAACCTTCCCCCTAATAACAACTCTCAAGCTATCATCCTTGCTCCCGTGCCCCAATCCCAAAAGGTTCCCACCATTTCTCCTCCTTTCCTCTTCCAAGCGCCTTCGAAGAAAATTCACTCCCTCGATGATCTCCGCCGCTTCCATGAATCGGGAACCTGCAAGAACTTCCTTGGCTTCGTTGTCGCCCTCTCAGAATCAATTCGCAGTCGCAAGATCTCCGATCCCTGCCACGAATCCCCCACCACCACTAAAATCGTCTCCATCCTTGAAATCTTAATCCACTGGATCGACGAAATTCCTCCCGTTCAGCAATCGTCTCGTTACGGCAACATCTCCTACAGAACCTGGCACGAACGGCTAACCGAAAACAGCCAGTCCCTTATGCTTCAGTTCCTCCCCGACGATCTCAAACCTTCAACCGTTGAAATCATACCTTATTTCGCTGACAGTTTCGGCAATTCGAGCAGGATTGACTACGGGACAGGCCACGAGACCAATTTCGCGGCTTGGTTGTATTGTTTGGCGAGGATGGGGGTTCTCAAGGAAGAGGATTATCAAGCTGTTGTGGCTAGGGTTTTCGTGAAGTATCTGGAGCTGATGAGGAAGCTCCAGCTTGTATATTGCTTGGAGCCAGCAGGGTCCCATGGTGTTTGGGGGCTCGACGATTATCACTTCTTGCCGTTTATATTTGGAAGCTCTCAGTTGATCGATCACAAGTACATGAAACCAAAGTCGATCCATAATCAGGATATTCTGGAAAATTTCTCCAATGAGTATATGTATCTATCTTGCATTGCCTTCATAAAGAAGGTGAAGAAGGGGCTCTTTGCCGAACATTCACCATTGTTGGATGATATTAGTGGGGTGCCCACCTGGAACAAGGTGAATAGTGGCCTGCTTAAGATGTATAAGGTGGAGGTGCTGGAGAAGGTTCCTATCATGCAGCATTTCCTCTTCGGGTGGCTCATTAAGTGGTATGATTCTTTCTTATCCCTCTTGATGTTTGCTTTGATTTGTGGTGGTGCTTGGAATTTTGCTTCATAATTTAAGTTCCTGTTTGTGTCATTGCTTCCCAAGCTGTTCTTCTTTAATACAGAAGATATCATAGTTGAGTAGAGTCAGTAGACTAGCTCAGGCTTTGAATGTTGGTAAAATTTTTTTACTCAGCTTGCAAATAGCTTTCTGTTTACTTAGCTGAGGCATTGCAAGCGAATACTGCTACTATGCTGTCAAGATTAAAATAAACCATTAATAGAACATTCGTTGCACGCATTCCAAGCTTACTGCACTGTACTTGGCATTAGGATGGTGATGTCACTTGGAAAGTAAAAACAGCATTGCTATACTGGAGTGCAAAGCCTCTGCTGCAGAGTTTGAAACTCCCCAGTGGAGTACCTTGCAAGAGATTAAGCATTAGGATAGACTAGAATTGGTCATGTCTCTGTTCAATTGGTTGTTATTGGCCTACCATAGGGGTAACTTTGACCATTAGGTGGGGGGGGGCACCCTTGCCTGTTGCATGGTTATTGTTTCTACTCCTTATGATGATTTTTTTACATATTTACCACCCCTGGCCAATTATTATTTTTCCTAAAACATTATCCAAGAATTGTGTGCAATTTCATGAACAATATCTGCTTTTCTTTTAATGGTGATGGTCATTTGAATGAATTCTAAGTTGCTACATCAAAATCCTTTACTAAATTGATGATCTTGGTGAGCTCAAATGACTGTAAATTTGGTTAGGATATTTGGTTTCTGATTGCAAATTTACATATAATTTAATTTAACTATTCTCTTTTGTTTCTGTGCTTTTTTTCCACTTGATGTTTGTTTTCACTAGTATCCTCACTCCTTATATCAGGATGTTAAGTTATTTATTCTTTCATCCGAACATCTACCACTTTATGCATTTGCGTTGTTATTTTTGTTAATTTCATTGCATATCCTATGAATGATTAGTTCTGGTAACTGTCTTCTGAAAATCCATGGAGTTTTCTTTCACTTTGCATTTCATCAAATATCTTTTGGGAGTCATGAACTAAATGAACCTTTTATTGAGAACATCCTGCAACTGATCCAATTAATTGAAAATGAAACCGTATAAGATCTGATGTTGAAAGAATAAGTTGAGGCCTGTGTGTCTATAAACTATAAGCTATGCTATTGGATTTCCTTTTGGAATTTGTAGGTGCCGTTATGTGGCTTAATGGTTTCATTAAAGAATTTTAAACATGCTTTAGGGCCAATAAGATCTGGTGATGAAGAATTAGTTCAGGCCTGTGTGCCCATACGCCATGCTTTTGATGTAACATTGTGTTGCCGCCCAATGTGTTTCATATGCTTCCTTAAAATTTTTATTAATCCTTTTGTTTTCATTCATTGATTCGGTGTCACAGGGAATAGTTTGATCTATCAGCTTCATTTGGACATAATGAGGCCGTCAAGGTTCCAGGAGAATTCAATTTTCACCAAGTTCCAAAACAGTCAGGTAGCACTTGACAGTCATTAGGTTGGGAATAATATATAACCAGACAAATGCTATAAATTGATTGAGTGGTTTCTTTTTCTTCTTTCCAATTCTGTCCATGCTAGCTAAATGACCATATGAAAATTGGATATTAGGTTACTGCCTTCTTTTGTTTGGAAAGTTAGCATTATGGAAACCCCTGCATTTCTGTTAAATAGTTGTTGGAATTCCGATGAGATGTTCATGTATAGCAATCAATGATTCAATCATTCAATGGCCAAGTGCCCTTAGAAAGGTAAGCTATGGAGTTATCCATGGAGCCCTCTGCATTAACATGTAACAGAAATATTACACATTTCTGTCTTGTTTATGTTGGATTTATTGTGTTTGAGAACGGCATATTGGGAGCTTCTCTTTTTCTCTTCATCAGCCCTTCTTCTTTCATTCTCTAGCAATTAAAATAGACAAGGAAATGGGTTTGTAGAAAATTAAGACTTCCTGGCAATTAAAATTTTTGAAATGATAATGAAATGATTTAAATATCATGAATTAACATTCTCATGAAAAAATAAAAACACTGAAAGTAATAAAAAAAACACATAATGAAAATTTATTAATGATATTTGAACAATTATGTAGGCAATCTTGATATATTAGGTGCTAGAAATCTTCATTTTCACTTTTTTTTGTTATATTATTTTTCAAAAATAATTAAGGTTTTCTTTTTTATTTTTTTTACTTTTTCTCTTAATTAAAGATTTATATACAATTTATATATTCATCTATATTACTTTTTTAAAAAGGTTAAAAAGAGCGAGATTTTTTTATATAAAATAATTAATTAGAGGTTGTAGAACTCTGGTCCTAAAAAAATTTTAATTTAATTTTTAAAATTTTTAAATTTGATTTTAAGATGATCTTTTTGTTAAAATAATTCACTTATTCGTTGTTTGACAGTATTTTATAACAAAGGCAGGTGATAAAAAATTGAAAATAAAAGCAACTGATGTGTACTTTATTTTTTTATTCTAATAAATAAAAATAAAAAAATAATTGTTTTATAGCAGAGGTAGCTGATAAAAAAAAAAAGAAAATTTAGGACAGAGATAATAAAAAGAAAGAAAATATATTAGAAAAGCAGAGGATTATTAAAAAAAAAAACAAAAAAAAAAAGGAAAATTCTGTTCCTTCAACCCTTCTTCTTTTCCTATTTATTTATATATTTTAGAAGTGCATGTTGTACGAGAGACTTTCAGAGGGAGAATCAGAAAGTACAACGTAAAAATAAAGTAGTAAAAGGAAAGGGAAGATGGTGACAAAGAATAATAGAAAAAGAAAAGGAGGGGAAGATATTTATTTGAATTTAATAAAAATCAAAATTTCAACAGAGGTTATCTTTTTCTCTCCTTCCTCGATTTCAATTACTTAAAAAAAATAATGATAGGGAAGTGGAAAATTAAAAATAAAAATTTAATATCAATGATGTGATATAAAATATATTATTAAATTAATTAATATATAATATTATAAATTTAAAAAATAAAAAAATTAATTATTAAATAATATAAAATTTATTTTTTAATATTTTAAATAATCTTATTTATATTACATTATAAATTTTAAATTTTGGTTATAAATTTTAATTTTATTTATTATTATTCACTTTAAAATAAAACAAAAAAAAAAAAAACAATGAAACTAACTCTACTAACCCTAATGTTATGGATTATTATTTTTTACTTTAAAATAAAAATTAGATCAGGAACTAGAAAGGGTACAGTCAAATCTCCGAAGAGCACTAAAGGCAGGGTCAAAATCGTATTTTTCAGCTTTTCTCTTTCAGCTCCTGAAAAGAACCGTAAAAAAGGACGCCCATAGAATCTTTCACTTCACCTCCACGATATCCAAAATTGCACGCCAATTCTTTCTCCTTTTTATTTTGGTTAAATCCTCATTTTAGTTTAGGGATTAAATTAGAGATTTTTTTAGTTTAAGGATCAAATTAAAAGC